CGGCCACCGTGAACCCCACCCACCCACACGGTCACCGTGAACCCCACCCACCCACACGGCCACCGTGAACCCCACCCACCCACCCACACGGTCACCGTGAACCCCACCCACCCACACGGTCACCGTGAACCCCACCCACCCACACGGCCACCGTGAACCCCACCCACCCACACGGCTGCCGTGAACCCCACCCACCCACACGGCCTCCGTGAACCCCACCCACACTGCCATAGTAAACGCCTCACCTGTGCGGTCGATGCAGAAGGGGTTGATGGAGGGGTTGGTGATGGAGGGGTCGATGATCATGATGACGATGATTGTGGAGGTGATGGTGCTGATCATCAGAATAGCGGAGCGGGGAGTAGACCTTGCCCGTCCGCTCCTCCTCCATCCTGAACGTGCGCTCGCAAATACAGCCAGACACACACCCATACAGACACCCATACAAACACACACAGAGCCAGACACACAGAGCCAGACACAACAACAACAACCGCCATTCGCCACTAAGTGGCGGTGACGTCACCACGACGCTTGTGCCAGGCCATGTGCACCTTGAGGCCATGTGAAGTGTCGAACGCCCGCTGGCAGGAGGTCACGGGGCAGACCCAGGTGCCACGGGTCGACTGACTGAGATGACTGGCTGATGCACCACCTGTGCCCCTTACTGTGCCAACCTGCTATGCTTTAGCCACCCGGCATTCCGCTCGTTGTTGTGAGCGTCGCTCCTTCGCCCTCCGTTGTTGTTGGAGGGCGACTGCCTCCAACTGCCCAGTAGCATCCTTCACGAGCCTCCTCCACAGAGGCCGATCTTGACACCGCTGGTACCGGTCATCGGAAAGTCCACTCAGCTCCACATCTTCCCGTACCACGTCACTCCATCTCTTCTCTAGCCCGTGCCGTGCCCGTTTAGCCCCCTCTATACGGCTGAACAAAAGCTGTTTAGGCATGTGCTTAGTTTTAGTGGGGCTGATGGTAAGGCCCCACCTCTTGGTGGCAAGCTCCAGGTTCAGCAGCAGCGCCTCCAACTCCTCCTCTGAGTGAGCAGCTATTACCAAATCATCGGCATACATAACGTGGTTGACCAATAGGGAGCCATCCCTTGACCACACCTGGGCATCGATCAGCCTCCCATTGTATCTGTACCAGATGGAAATTCCCCCAGTACAGCTATTGAAGGCTTCACGAACTACGTGGTCGAAATAGATATTAAATAATGTGGGAGCCAGAGGACATCCCTGTCGCACCCCAAGGTGCACAGGGAATGGCTCTGACTCCCGGCCACGTAGTTTTACCCGGGCCTGCTCACCATCATGAAGGTTCTTAATGAGCATGAGCCAGAGGGTCAGGGACTCCGAAAGCACAAAGAACAACCCAGAGCCCAGGCCTACTGATGGTATCATAGGCCTTGACCAGGTCAATAAAGCAGAGATGTAGGTCTTGTTGGAATTCCCTACACCTCTGCTGTAGCAGACGGACAGAACATATGGCATCTGTGCAGGACCGCCCTTTCCTGAAACCGCATTGGGGCTCCGCAAGCCTCTCCTCAGCGTGCCTGGCGAGGCGATGTTGAATAATCCTTGCCAGGACCTTTCCCGGCACACTGAGGAGTGAGATGCCCCTGTAGTTGTTACAGTCTGTGCGGTCCCCCTTCTTAAAGAGGGGGACCACCAGGGCATCCTTCCAATCCTGCGGAACCCGTCCAGTGGTCCAGACTGTTGTTATGATGTCATGTAGGGCAGTCATAGACGCCTGTCCCCCCCGGAGCCTCCGGCACAAGCTTATGAATTAGATATTTTTCACATGGTTTAGCGGTAATTTGTTGAAGGTGGAGGGGTTACCAGCCCCTCGCACCCGTCCAGAGCCCCCGTTTAGCCACTGTGGTGGACACAGATGCCCGTCCGGCACCACGGGGAGGTCGATCCGCTGTAAAGCCTTACAAGAATGTTGGGGAAAGTGCTGTTAGCGAGCACCTATTAAGGCCGGAACGGTGCACGAGGGGGTGGGTGGCTGTACTCCCCACTGTGCCAGGCTAGGTGCAGGAGGAGGTCACGTGACGGACCCTGCAGGTGCCATGGGTTGACTGCTGTGCCAGGCTAGGTGCAGGAGGAGGTCACGGGACAGACCCAGCAGGTGCCATGGGTTGACTGCTGTGCCAGGCTAGGTGCAGGAGGAGATCACGTGACAGACCCAGCAGTATTATTTACTGTGTACAGCACTATATACTGTACACAGCAAATAGTACTGTACCCAGTAAACAGTAGTGTACAGTAATATTTACTGTGTACACATTATGTAGCACTGTACGCACACTGTACGTATACTGTACACCGTGTACAGTGCGCGGCGCTGTGATTACGGTGTACAGTGCGTGTTGCCGTGTGTACAGTGCGCCGTTCTGTGTACAGTACGTGGCGTTGTCCGTTACGCGGTACAGTATACGTACAGTGCGCAGTGGTGTGTACAGTGTATAGGTAAGGTAGTTAAAGCTACACCCCCCCACGTAGTCTCATAGCCCAGGGGGGCTACAGAGAGAGTTGAGAGATGAGAGAGAGATAAGAGAGAGATGAGAGAGAGATTAGAGAGAGAGATGAGAGAGAGTTGAGAGATGAGAGAGAGAGATGAGAGAGAGTTGAGAGATGAGAGAGATAAGACAGATGAGAGATAAGAGAGAGAGAGTGAGAGAGAGATGAGAGAGTGATGAGAGAGAGATAAGACAGATGAGAGATAAGACAGATGAAAGATGAGAGAGACAGCTAGAGAGATGAGAGAGAGAGAGATGAGAGAGAAAGATGAGAGTGAGAGATGAGAGAGAGATAAGACAGATGAGAGATGAGAGAGATAGCGAGAGAGACAGCGAGAGAGATAAACTCACCCGCGACTCCTGAATTCCGTGCCTCAAGTCGAAGGCCTTTGAAGGTCACGGGACGGAGCAGTTCACGACGCGAGTCACAAGACGCTTCTATTCAAACCAAAGAGGAGACTTTTGTTGACGTTTGCCGAACGAAGCGGGCACGTCGAAGACTTCAAAATCGCCTCTCTCGCGGTTAGGGCCGTCGCTGCCAACCGCCACACGGCGTGCGTGATGACGTCACCGCGTCGGGGTTAACGCGTCGCTGGTGCGTGCGTGCTGACGTCTACACCGCGTCGGGGTTTTTTGCTTGACCCATGGTGCGTGCGTGCTGACGTCATCACCGCGTCGGGGTTTTTTGCTTGAGCCATGGTGCGTGCGTGGTGACGTCATCAACGCGTCGGGGTTTTTTGCTTGACCCATGGTGCGTGCGTGGTGGCGTCATCAACGCGTCGGGGTTTTTGCTTGACCCGGGAGCGTGCGTGGTGACGTCGTGAGCGCGTCAGGGTTTTTGCTTGACCCATGGTGCGTGCGTGATGACGTCATCACCGCGTCGGGACGAGCTTGTCCCGGGTGTGTGCGTGGTAACGTCACCGCGTCGGAGAAGCTTGCCCCCGGCGTGCGTGGTGACGTCACCGCGTCGGGGCGAGCTTGTCCCGGGTTTGCGCGGGACGTGACCGCGAAAACAAAACGCCCAGGAGCGCTGTGACGTCATTCACTCACCCACTCACTCACCCACTCACTCACCCACTCACTCACCCCTCACTCACCCCTCACTCACCCACTCACTCACCCCTCACTCACTCACCCACTCACTCACCCACTCACTCACCCACTCACTCACCCCTCACTCACTCACCCACTCACTCACCCACTCACTCACCCACTCACCTACTCACTCACGCACTCACCCACTCACTCACCCCTCACTCACCCACGCACTCACTCATCCACTCACTCACCCACTCACCTACTCACTCACTCACCTACTCACTCACCTACTCACTCACCCCTCACTTACCCACCCACTCACTCACCCCTCACTCACCCACTCACTCACCCCTCACTCACTCACTCACCCCTCACTCACCCACTCACTCACCCACTCACTCACCCCTCACTCACTCACCCACTCACTCACCCACTCACTCACCCACTCACCCACTCACTCACCCACTCACTCACCCACTCACTCACCCACTCACTCACTCACCCACTCACTTACCCACTCACCCACTCACCCACTCACCTACTCACTCACCCACTCACTCACCCACTCACTCACCTACTCACTCACCCCTCACTCACCCACTCACTCACCCCTCACTCACCCACTCACTCACTCACCCATTCACTCACCCACTCACTCACCTACTCACTCATCCACCCACTCACTCACCCACCCACTCAGTCACCCACTCACTCACCCACCCACTTACTCACTCACCCACCCACTTACTCACTCACCCACCCACTTACTCACTCATCCACTCACCCACTCACTCACCCACTCACCCACCCACTCACTCATCCACCCACTCACTCATCCACTCACTCACCCATCCACTCAATCACCCACTCACCCACCCACTCACTCATCCACCCACTCACTCATCCACTCACTCACCCACCCACTCAATCACCCACTCACCCACCCACTCATCCACCCACCTACCCACTCACCCACTCAATCACCCACCCACTCACTCACCGACCCACTCACTCACTCAATCACCCATTCACTCACCCACTCACTCACCCACTCACTCACCTACCCACCCGCAAACTCAGTCACCCACCTACCCACTCACTCACTCATCCACCCACTCACTCACTCACCCACCCACTCACCCACCCATCCACCCACTCACTCATTCACCCACCCACTCACCCACTCACTCACCCACCCACTCAATCACCCACCCACTCACTCATCCAACCACCTACCCACTCACCCACTCAATCACCCACCCATTCACTCACCGACCCACTCACTCAATCACCCATTCACTCACCCACCCACTCACCCGCGCACCCATTCACGCACCCACTCACTCACTCACCCACTCACTCACTCACCCACCCACTCACTCACCCACTCACTCATTCACCCACCCACTCACTCACCCACTCACTCACCCACTCACTCATTCACCCACTCACTCACCCACCCACTCACTCACCGACCCACTCACTCACTCAATCACCCATTCACTCACCCACTCACTCACCCACTCACTCACCTACCCACCCGCAAACTCAGTCACCCACCTACCCACTCACTCACTCATCCACCCACTCACCCACCCACTCACCCACCCATCCACCCACTCACTCATTCACCCACCCACTCACCCACTCACTCACTCACCCACTCAACCACTCACCCACCCAGTCACCCACTCCCTCGCTCGCCCATTCACTCACCCACTCACTCACCCACCCACTCAATCACCCACTCACCCACCCACTCACTCATCCAACCACCTACCCACTCACCCACTCAATCACCCACCCATTCACTCACCGACCCACTCACTCAATCACCCATTCACTCACCCACCCACTCACCCGCGCACCCATTCACGCACCCACTCACTCACTCACCCACTCACTCACTCACCCACCCACTCACTCACCCACTCACTCATTCACCCACTCACTCACCCACCCACTCACTCATTCACCCACTCACTCACCCACCCACTCACTCATTCACCCACTCACTCACCCACCCACTCACTCATTCACCCACTCACTCACCCACCCACCGATGAGCGAAGTGGAATCCAGCCCGTGACGCTATAGTTGATTTATTAACACGACACAGCAGATATATGCAAGAAAGAGCATAATAATTCACACGTAACCTGTCACCGTTCACCAGCTTGGGAGTATTGTTTTCGCTTTTTAAACGAGGTTTGCAACTATTATACTCGTTCGCGTTAATTAACTATTTGGGTACACTTTGAGAAAGGGCCTGGCTAGAGGATGTTGTGGGGGGGGTCACTGTCTTATTGGGTACACTTTGAGAAAGGGCCTAGCTAGAGAGTGTTGTGGGGGGGGTCACTCTCTTATTGGGTACACTTTGAGAAAGGGCCTAGCTAGAGAGTGTTGTGGGGGGGGGGGGGTCTCTGTCTTATTGGGTACACTTTGAGAAAATGCCTAGCTAGAGATTGTTGTGGGACGTCACTGTCTTATTGGGTACACTTTGAGAAAGGGCCTAGCTAGAGATTATTGTGGGACGTCACTGTCTTATTGGGTGCACTTTGAGAAAGGGTCTAGCTAGAGAGTGTTGTGGGGGTCTCTGTCTGATTGGGTACACTTTGAGAAAGGGCCTAGCTAGAGATTGTTGTGGGACGTCACTGTCTTATTGGGTACACTTTGAGAAAGGGCCTAGCTAGAGATTGTTGTGGGACGTCACTGTCTTATTGGGTACACTTTGAGAAAGGGTCTAGCTAGAGAGTGTTGTGGGGGTCTCTGTCTTATTGGGTACACTTTGAGAAAGGGCCTAGCTAGAGAGTCTTGTGGGGGGGGGGTCACTGTCTTATTGGGTACACTTTGAGAAAGGGCCTAGCTAGAGAGTGTTGTTGGGGGGGGACACTGTCTTATTGGGTACACTTTGAGAAAGGGCCCTAGCTAGAGAGTGTTGTGGGGGGGGTCACTGTCTTATTGGGTACACTTTGAGAAAGGGCCTAGCTAGAGGGTATTGGAGGGGGAGGGGGTCACTGTCTTATTGGGTACACTTTGAGAAAGGGCCTAGCTAGAGAGTGTTGTGGGGGGGGGGGGGGGTCACTGTCTTATTGGGTACAATTTGAGAAAGGGCCTAGCTAGAGATTGTTGTAGGATGTCACTGTCTTATTGGGTACACTTTGAGAAAGGGCCTAGCTAGAGAGTGTTGTGGGGGGGGGGGGGTCACTGTCTTATTGGGTACAATTTGAGAAAGGGCCTAGCTAGAGATTGTTGTAGGATGTCACTGTCTTATTGGGTACACTTTGAGAAAGGGCCTAGCTAGAGAGTGTTGTGGGGGGGGCGTCACTGTCTTATTGGGTACACTTTGAGAAAGGGCCTAGCTAGAGATTATTGTTGTGGGGGTCTCTGTCTTATTGGGTACACTTTGAGAAAGGGCCTAGCTAGAGAGTGTTGTGGGGGGGGGGGGTCACTGTCTTATTGGGTACACTTTGAGAAAGGGCCTAGCTAGAGATTGTTGTGGGACGTCACTGTCTTATTGGGTACACTTTGAGAAAGGGTCTAGCTAGAGAGTATTGGGGGGGTCACTGTCTTATTGGGTACACTTTGAGAAAAGGCCTAGCTAGAGAGTGTTGTGGGACGTCACTGTCTTATTGGGTACACTTTGAGAAAGGGCCTAGCTAGAGAGTGTTGTGGGGCGTCACTGTCTTATTGGGTACACTTTGAGAAAGGGCCTAGCTAGAGAGTGTTGTGGGGTGGTCTCTGTCTTATTGGGTACACTTTGAGAAAGGGCCTAGCTAGAGGGTGTTGTGGGGGGGTCACTGTCTTATTGGGTACACTTTGAGAAAGGGCCTAGCTAGAGAGTGTTGTGGGGCGTCACTGTCTTATTGGGTACACTTTGAGAAAGGGCCTAGCTAGAGATTGTTGTGGGACGTCACTGTCTTATTGGGTACACTTTGAGAAAAGGCCTAGCTAGAGGGTGTTGTGGGGGGGGCGTCACTGTCTTATTGGGTACACTTTGAGAAAGGGCCTAGCTAGAGAGTGTTGTGGGGCGTCACTGTCTTATTGGGTACACTTTGAGAAAGGGCCTAGCTAGAGAGTGTTGTGGGGTGGTCTCTGTCTTCTTGGGTACACTTTGAGAAAGGGCCTAGCTAGAGGGTGTTGTGGGGGGGGGGGTCACTGTCTTATTGGGTACACTTTGAGAAAGGGCCTAGCTAGAGAGTGTTGTGGGGGGGTCACTGTCTTATTGGGTACACTTTGAGAAAGGGCCTAGCTAGAGAGTGTTGTGGGGGGGTCACTGTCTTATTGGGTACACTTTGAGAAAGGGCCTAGCTAGAGAGTGTTGTGGGGGGGGGTCACTGTCTTATTGGGTACACTTTGAGAAAGGGCTGGCCTAGCGACACATGCAAGCGCTACTGGTGCAGAGTTCACAGTTCATGAAGAATCTGGGGTCAGAGGTGAGACCTGGTGAGAGAGACAGTTAGCATCATCAGCAACATCATCATCAGCAGAAGCATCATCAGCATCAGCAGCATCAGCAGCATCATCATCATCAGCAGCAGCAGCATAAGCAGCATCATCATCATCAGCAGCATAAGCAGCATC